AGACGTTCCCGGTCATAACACAACCACACAGTAATACCAGCTATTAAAGTTCTGTGAATTTTGAATTGAAGTTCCACAAACTTATGATAATTTGGCTTTCAAATAAAGTATACAAACACGTAATAAAAGAAAAAGCAATCAACTTTGAGTTCCATGCCACAAGGTAATGAATGTGTTTCCAGTAGTACAGTGTCATAATACACAATACCAAAACAGTCAAAACACAGAGCTACCCCCAAAATTCTCTATGAATGCACAACTATGTGTAGGATCAGTTAGGGGTGTAAAACTGCAAAGAGCCAAAGCCAATCTACACCTTGTAAGTTAAACAGAAATCACAGGACATCTTAATATGATAAATCATAATAGCACATGCAACCAAGATTGCTCTCTTTTTTAAACTTTACTCCTAATCATTTTGTTTAAAAATCAATGTTGAAAATAGAGTGCTATAGCACCCCTATAGTGGCTGGAGCCCCTCCCCACCAAGCTTGGCTCTTTTCTGAGGTATGGTCGCTATCGGTGCTATATCAGGCAATAGCGGTGCTAAACAGCTTTAGCGGGCCATTTATTTAGCAGCGCTAAACAGATTCCACATGTTCTGTGAAGTTAAGAACTTAAGCAGCCGGCAATCAGCATTTGATTGTCTGGTTGGTGTTTACTTATGTCATAAGCTGCTGGACAAGTACTTATGTCATATATCTTCTACCTACTTATCGCTTATGTTATGTGAGCAATTGTTTGAATTTTTTATGGAATAATGGCTTTTCTGGCCTATAAATTGCATGTATTTTCCCAAAACGCTAAATGGCTTAGCGTCCGCATAGCACCGGTATAGTTGTCACAGCAGTTTGAGCAAGCCACCGCTAAATGCCATAAGCTCGCTATTTTCAACACTGAAAAATACTAATCTATACCCTATACACCTATTGTTAACGACCCCAGCTTTCTTTTTTCAAATTGTGGAAGACGAACAAGTAACATACTAACATCAGTATAGATTGCAACTTTACGATAGAACGTACCACCCATTTGTATCTGGATTGCACAAGAGGGTGAGTATAAATTAAAATAATGTTGCGACCAAATTTTTTTAGGCAGAAACAGTGGGGTACTACATTAAAGGTATGTAAAAGACTACCAGAGTCCAAGGTTGTCTTTACTAAGTGTGCAAGTAAACTGCCTAGTTCAGTATCATCTTCTCAATATGTCAGATGGCATTCTAGCCACGTACAACTTCCAGCACACATTATTCTGAATTATCCAAACGCCTGAGTTTTGAAATGTTTGAAGCACACACTAAGATAACAGAAAAGGGTAGAACAAAGTAACAAACTTCCAATTTCCAAGATATATCAAAATACCTCCCCCCGCCCCCCCAAACCAATCTAATGTGATGTGATGTCTAGATCTATTTTTAGGAACTACATTACCAATACATTATAACTCGTAGGAGTTAACTAATGGCCCTCGAATGATGCCTTGTTCAAAACATCTTGTCTATGCTCTATGCAGTGCTATAAAAATTGGTTCTGAAGCAGCAAATGCTCCGAAGCAACAAACGCCCAATAAGTTTTCAATCAAAAGTATAAACAGTCGGAATGTGTCGTGGAAGTGGTTATCTGATACTGCAACTGTATACACGTGGTTCAAATTAGAAGTATTCAGCCTGCTACAGGACCAAACAGCATAGAAGGTTTTTATTCCCAACTCAACGAGCTTGTTGTAAACCATACGAGGCTCAAATATTAACTTCATATTGCCTTGAAGGACAGAAATTATATGTACCTTTTGTTTCTTCCCCTTTGATGTGCTCTTCTGGTCAGCCTTTGATGTACTCTTCTGATCAGTAGAAACAGTTGTTTTCTTTTCTGTGCCTTTCTTGTTCTTTTTGTTCTTTTTAGGATTCGTGTTTTCACCATTCTGCTTATCTCCTTTGCTTACTGAACCACTGTTGTCATTAGAAGAGGATGGCCCTTCCATCATATCGTCAACATCATTACCAGGGCCAGATCCCTCAGGCTGAACCTCACTTTTACCATGATGCTCATTATCAGCATAATTACCTTCATCTTTTTCCTCCTTTGCAGCCCGTCGCCTGCGTCCTTTCCTTTTTGCATTATTAACTTCAGAACTTCTATGATCGTCATCATCCTCAGCAGCACCCGACAAAGCCTCCTCTGGAGGAGCCACATAACCACCCTTTCTGTTCTTGCGGCTTGATAGCATTGCCTCCAATACACTTGCCTCATCATATGACCCAACCTCCTGCTCTGCACTATCAACGAAATCCTTATCACCATCCTCTTTATCATGCACCTCCAAACCTTCCTCAAATTCTTTAGCTAACTCTTCTGCAGCATCTGAAAATGCACTCTCATCATCTGACTCCTGTGTAGGCTTAAAATCAAACCCCACATCAACTTCATTCCAATCACCTTCCCCCTCCTCTGCCTCTTTCAAAGACTCCTCCTCCTCCTTAAACGCCATCCTCAGCTCAGCGATCTTATCCCTATGCTTCTTCGACTGCTCGTGGTTCTTCCACTGTTTGTCCGATTTGAACTTCTTATTGCAAGCCACGCAGTACAGCTCCTCCCTCTTCTTGGCCCTCAACTCCTCTTCTTCGTCTTCATCATATAATCCCTCCTCTTCCTCCTCCGTCCTCGCCCACTCAGGCTCCTGATATGCCATGGCTCGCTTCTTCTTCCTCTTCTCCTCCTCCTTCCTCTCCTTCTCCTCTGCCTTTCTCTTCTCCTCCTCCGCCTTCTTCTTAAGAGCCATGTCCACCACCCTCTTATCCCTCTTCTTGCAGAAGGCGGCGAGGCCCCTGACAGCGTCATTGTACTCCCGCCGCGCCTTCCGCATCGCCTTCTTGTTGTCCTCCTCCATGAGCCTCCGCACACGGCGGTTCTCCCCGCGCGCGGCATCCCACTCGGCCGCCCACCCGAAGTCCATGACCGAGCCGAACCCAAGCCAGTAATTGTAGAAAGCAGTGACCTGCGCATAGGGGGAATCGAGGTTCCCAATGACCGGCGGCGCGGCGGGCTCAGGAACCCCCATCCGGCGCGCGTAGGAGAGCTCCTGCGCGAAGACCCTGTCGAAGACGTCCCAGTAGACCTTGTAGAAGCCGCGGCCCGTGTCGGAGAAGCCGGAGAAAGCGGAGGAGGAGAAGAAGGCGAAGAGGTCGGGGACGGGGGAGGCGGATTTGGCGCCGGCGGAGGCTGGGTCGGAGAAGAGGATCTGGGAGCGGTGGGAGTCGTAGTAGGCGCGCTCCTGCGGGTCGGAGAGGACAGAGTGGGCATGCTGGAGCTCCTGGAAGGCGGCGGTGGCGGCGGCGAGGTCGGAGCCGGGGGGCTGCTTATCGGGGTGGAGCGAGAGAGCGAGGCGGCGGAAGGCGAGCTTGATGTCGGTCGGGGAGCAGTCGCGAGGTAGGCCTAGGACCTCGTAGTAGCAGCGCTTCGGCGCGCCCGCCGCCGCGGACGCCATCGCCGCTAGGGTTTGGAGGTGTCCGAGGGAAGGGAGAAGGACTAGAGAGCAGGGGAACAGGCGTTTTCTATTGTTCTTACACGTTGGATTACATTGCATGCATACAATTACATTGAAATTCTTGACAAGTTCGAGAGGTAGAAAAGGTTTCCCTCTTTTTTAATTAATTAATTATTAGTAAATATATGCCCGTACGTTGATCAAAATTCATCGTGTTACAGGGGGCACCAACATGGTTGTGCGCCAGAGCCACACGCGAGACACTATGGCCACAACAAGATGGCTCGAACTTGCGGCCACGGCACCACGTGCGCACGGTGTCATGCGGGAGACCAAGAGTGGCCATGGCAACACGCACATAGGGGTGATTGGTTGCTCAAGGGTCAGCGAGCCAGGATGGAGTGGTTGTCTAGGCTCTTTCTAGCCATGATAAGACTATGTACTTTGTTGTATTTTGTTGTCTTTGTTGTTGGTCCAGTACAAAACGAGATCATGTTTGGTTGCACGCATGCATCAAAGTTTTGAGTGTCTGACACATGGGCCCCTGCACCATGCGTGTATGAAGCCATCCCGGCTCGCGAGGGAAGGTGAAATTGAGAATCTAGGATGATGATGATGATACGATGAGAAGGGACTCGAGACGAGCAACCAATTGATCATAATTGAAAGGAGTAAAATTCACCATCGGTCTCTAAACTTGGCAGACGATGTCATCCCGATCGCCCAACTTCCAAAGTGATATATGTAGGTCCCTAAACTTAGGCAATGGTGTCATCTTAGTCCATGAACTTCCAAAGTGATCGCCACCGCGGTCCCTAAGCTTGGTCTTTAGTGTCATTCTAGTTTACGCTTAATGTAGTATGCTTACTGTGCGTTTGATGTGGACACAACACGTGGAATATACCTATATTTTAACATTTTGGAGGAGTAAAATTAACGGCATGGCCCTAAACTTGGCCGTCAGTACCATCATGACCCACAAACTGATATATAGGTCTCATGTGTCAAAGATGAGAAATAGAGAGAGATAGACCCCAACATGTTGGGTCCACATCTAATGCATAATATATGCGACACATCAACGTATAGAATGGGTCCCTATTTAGACCTAGACTAGACAAGACTCAAAACCAAGATTATAGTTTAGGATGATATCGTTGGCCAAGTTTACCTCACGATGGACTAAATTCTAGTAGTCCTAAATTCTAGTCCGATGATCCATACGTGCCCTTTAACCAATGGCAAAACCCAGTTCAAGTAGGTCGTTTTAGATGTAATATTACACTATATCCATAAGTGAACTGGTGATTATTTTTTAGATAAAGGGATTAAATTCAGCCTCTGCATTCATATTTCATACATGAATGTATATAATAGCCAAAGTGAATCAGTGATAATAACAATAGATAATATATGTACATTGGTATCGCACAAGTGATCCCATTACAACTAAGAGCGAATTGCCGTCAGTGTGTTCCTGATGAATGCATCTTCCCACCTCTCCTCTGGGAGCATCACCCATTCTTTGATCCTTCTAACTGCTCAGCAGTTCCCTGAGTCCAGTGCTGTCGAACCTTGACCGAAAAAAGTAAGAAATAACTTATGGGTTGACAGTGAGAAGAAAATAACCACAAGTATTTATAAATGAAAAAGTGACATTTTCATCATATCTAAAAATCTAGAGTGTGCACTAATTACCCTGAGTCTTCTACCGTACAGTTTCTTTTGGTTCTATTGTAATAGCTAGTATTGTTGATAGAGACCATTTTTTTTCCGACTGATAATTAGATAGATACCAGCAGGCAGGCTATATCTTTGCTGGAGACAAGGTAGAGTAACATTTTTACTTACATATGTAGGGAGGTCATCAGCATCTTCTCTACGAAATGATGTCGCTTTGCAGCCTGTTACAATATCCAGAAGTAGTACACCAGAGCTGTACACATCGGACTTCGCCGAGTACGATTTGCGGTGGAACAACTCAGGAGCGCTGTATGCACTGATAGTACCATACCATTAATTAATCAGTAAGCACACTGCCAGTGATCGGTTCTGCTCATCACAAGGAACTTTTTTTTTTGAATGGGTTAAACACATGGAACTAAGCAGTAAAGGCAAGTGCAATGGCTGCAAAATGAACTCACCGTGTTCCCTCGAAGCTCTCCGCCTTCCCTTCAGACTGGCCTTGATCAAGCAGAGTTGCAAGACCAAAGTCTGAAATTTTGGGGATCAAGTCATCGCTAAGTAGGATATTACTAGGGTCTATATCACGATGAATGATTCTGCAATGCTCATGCAGATATAGCAATCCTTCACAAATTCCTTGCAAGATGCGAAGACGTGAAGGCCAGTGGAGCACTCCGTACTTTTCATCTTCAGCTGCGCACACCTCAGATTCATGGCTGGTAAGACCAACATGCATCTTATACAAACGGCACTATTCTTATGATAAATTGATAATTATGTCTGCAACCACTTATATTACAAGAAAAAACATACCGAAAAGAACTGCATCAAGGCTACCACCGGGCATATATTCATAGCATATTAGGTTGTTGTTATTCCCTATGCAGGATCCCATCATCCTTATGATGTTCGGATGGTTAAGCCTCGCAAGAATTTTCACCTCATTTTTTAGCTCCTCAACTCCCGCCTCTGTGTTTGTTCTTTTGATTGCCAAATCATCGACATTTGGTAGTGTTCCCTGAGCAATGCCAAGGATGACAAGTTCTTCATATATACTAATTTAACAGACTCACAACCGAAACTCCAAAAGGAAAACTAAGTACCTTGTAGATGGTCTTAGATTGGGTAGAGATGATACTATTTCGTTCAGCCAAATTGTTGGTGGCGACTCTGATAGCATCCAGATCTAAACTCCAATCAAGGTTGGCTGTAAGCTTAGACCCTGGTGCATGCTCATGTTCTGTTACAAACAATTCTGATTGCACAAGTTTTTTCACGAATGAAATGATATATATAATCCTGATCATACATAAAAATCATGAATAATAAAATATTAACCATACGTACCAAGTGCTAGCGGTAAATGCTTTCGTTGGCTTCGCCGATAACAAAATACTAGCAATGCAGAAATAAGCAGCAGCCCTCCAACAACAGAGACAGAAGCAATGATAGCAGTTTGTCTAGCTGTAAAAAGAATAGGGATCCATATTTAGTACAATAAAGTACTAAATAAACTCTTGTATTGATAGGAATAATGATCGAAACATACCTGAGCGAGACGGATCATCATTATGGGAAGTCCGAGTGTAGAAATCATTGATCCCATCGGCAAGTTGAACAGTATCGACCAAATCACCTGACCAGACAACACAGTCACTCTCTCCAAGCACGGTATAAGCATTGCATGAGCAATTCCCTAAGCACAACTCCTTGCACTCATCGAAGCTCTTGCCCCGAACCAAGGTGGCGTTCAGTGTGTCAGGCACCTTGACAAGTGTCAACTTCTGAAACCCATTAGCCGAGGAGCAAGAAAACGATGCACTTCTCTTGCAGCCACGGGTGAAGTTCCTCCGGATCCAATCGTTCGGTGACGTATAGACAAACTCCGGTAGACATTTGCAGTCAGCATTGTAGCAAGCCGCGTTCGGACCGCAGAACGCGTAGGAATCACATGTAGACTGAGGCCAATGCCAGAAGTCCACCCACTCGTTGTCAGGGCTGCTGCTGAACGAGCGATTGGCAATGCCATCTGGCATCAGGACAGTTCGCCACTGGACTGATGTGTTTAAGGCTGTGAACCAGTAATATGCACTACTTTCGCGGACACTCATGTTGAACATCACGTCGTTCGTCGACTTGAGATATGGCTGGCCATTGAAGCCTTTGCCATTCCATGGGCCAGTCCTGTACTGCAACTCAGTGTCCTTGCGCAAGACCAGCCCAGGCAGTGGCCTCGGATCCATGCTGATGGTGTAGTCCCCAGAAGACGGGTCCGATTCGCTCTTCCATGATTTGAGCTGCAACAAGCCATTATTCGCCACCGACGTGTCGTACCTGATTCTCATGCCAGACAACCATGTGTCGCAGGGATGATCAAAGCTTTGCCATAGTGGTTGACTTGGCCGGAGTAGTACTCCTAGACATGGTGGTGTCGTTGATGATCGATAAGGTTACCAGTGTCGAGAAGGAAGGCCTGTGGACTGTTGGTGTTGAGTGTGCCACTTGACCACAGGGATCCTCTCCTTTGTATCCACAAGGTCAAGAGAGCTTTGGCTGAGGGTAAGGCTTACATTGCCTCCCTTTATTGGGTTGTCACGGTTTGCCACCCAGACGATTGTTTGAGGCTTCATGTAATTGTACCATATTCCTAGATATGTGTTGGCCCCAATTGTGAAGAAACCCAACACAAAAATACCTTGTGCTGAAACTAGTGTTTGCCCAACTTGCAAAGACTGCCCTACGGCCAGTGAGCCATCTGGAACAAGATATTTCAAGATGAAAACTGTGAGAATACGTCAAGAAAAAAGAGAACCAGGTATATGCATGGAAGATGCTTAAAAAAAAGGTATATGCATGGAAGATATATATGGTTGCCATATTGTTTCTAGCTACTATTTCTTTCTCTCACCCAAAGAAAAACATAAATAAAGGGAGAACGAACCAGAAAAACAAAAAAGTTTTTGGTATCTTGCACAATTTATACTACACTGGACCAAGACCAATTGGCATGATGTCAGTTAAAGTACCATTATTGTCCTGTTCGGCTGCCATTGATGCAGCAGCTGCTACAAGCTGTGGCTGCAATTTGCTCTCTGTGGTTACTGTATTAGCAGCAAGCTGCAGCGAACACTGATCTATCATACCATGAACAACATGTCACGTCATCAGTGCCATAGCAGGCAGGCAAAGGTTTGTACTACAGATTATTGCACGATGGACCACACTCTGACAAATCCAATAATTAACCATGGACCACAAACTGCACTCGAAGAGGACTAGAACACCTTCAAATTTGGGCCCCCTTTGGAACAAAAGATGTACAATACACAGGAACAAAAAAAAACGTAGGGATGACAAATCCTATAGGATTTCAAAACAAAGAAAATTTAGAAAGACGCCTTTGGAAACATTGCAGGGAAAAAATGAAACAAAACAATGAAGTTAGCTAATGTTTAGTTTGCTCCAAAATTCCTTTAGATTGCCCACTATTCCACATGAATTTCAAAGGAATTATTGGGAAGCATTAACCAAACCATTCCATGCGCGAACAATGACTCTACAGAGGATTGATTGTGTACTTAATCCGTACTTTTCAGTTTGTCTTTTTCAGCTGGAACAATATTTTCCTCTCACAACAAATCAGTCGGAACAGTGTTTCGACTTTTTCAGCGAAGCGAACGGAGCCGGAGAGAGAGAGAGAGAGAGGTGTACTTTGCGACTGCGCCCGAGGCAGAGAAGCAGCAGCGAGCAGCAGCACCGAAACGAGGAGCACGGCCTTGAGCATCGTCCTCGAGCCGTCAGCTACGCAGGCCGGCCTGGAACTCGAATGGAAGCACTGATGAAATGGCGAGCGTAGCATAGATCCTGAAGTCCCACGCTTTGTACGTATATTAGTACAAAAAAATAGGAAAAATCATCATAAAGGTCCTTCACCTCTTGTGAAATTTAAATGGAAGCCTCCGTAGGATATTTGTGTAGTCTTTCTTTAGAAACAAATATGCTTTGACCATCAATTACTCTTACAATATATTGTTATCATCAATTGCTTCAAAAACTGTGTGGTCTGTATTAATATTAAAAAGATATGTGACGCCTGTATTAAAAGAAAAGATATTTCCATCATTTTTTTTGAATCGACTGGATGAATTTTAGCATCCACTAGTTCTCTCTTGGAATTCAAAAGTGCGCCAAAGTCAAGTGAAACCAATTAAACCAATGAGTTATTTGGATAGGAATTGATGATGACCTCTGACGAGTCGTCCTATGTATTTCTCGGCCGTATATTGTGTTAACATCATCTGGATCAACCCATCCTATTCCTAGCTAATAAGGTCGTCGTCGGTGGGAACACACACAGTAATTTCAAGGAAAGGTAGAAAGCTTACGATGTCCGATGACTGTTACACATTTCACACCATAGAGCTTTAGCTGAAAATAATTCCACTGCAAATAAAGCTGGTATTAGTGTATACTGCAGTCCTCCTGCCAAAGCATGCATGGCTTGATACCAAAATTGAAAGCAAGAATGACTAAAAGAATAGTAGTAGTAGTTAGGATATTTCGTGACTTGGAAGCCCAGAAGATAGACAGCATATTTGAACTAGCCTGTGGTCGGGTATACGGCTTGCTAGTTGAAAAGTCAACACCATATTTACCTGGAACCCAGGAAATTCTACACAGATGATTTTTCAGAAGCATCTAGATTTTTTTTTCAAGCTGGTTTGAATTGAGGCCCACCTCTAGAAATGCTAAGCTAGGCTATAGTTGCGGATCATCCCTGGAAATCCATTTATTTTCAGGGATGGCTGCATAGGAGGACCTGCCCTGGAAACACTATTTTCTCCCATGTTAATGTTTGTTTCTAGGAACACCCCGTGTTAATGTTTTTTTTACTTCAATTATTGCAAAAAGTACTTTATCTCCACTGTAATCCATATTTAGTAATTGGGTTGATTATAATGTTATCCACTGCTAATGTTAAACTTATTTTTGGTATAATTTTGTTACAATATTTATATATTCTATAATTCATGTCAAATGTTATATTGCATCGCCCCATTAAAAGGACTAGTTCTTTGGTCACCACTAAAAAACTTCATATGCCACGTGGACCATCAATTTATTTTTTCGGAGCGTATGGACCACTAATGTCATATTTGCATATAACAGCTCCTAACGGGAGGATGAAATGTCCCTTTTGCCCTCGAATGAACCTGGGGTAGAAATTTTCGCTGGTTCCTTGTATGCCACCACCGACAGTCCTAACTGTCCTGTTTTTTTGTGCCAAATAATAGAGAGCAATTAGGAGGAGGAAATATCATAGAACATTAGGAATATTGCTAACCTATGGTAAACTAAAACTGTTGTGATAAACTACAGTACAAGAAGGAAAAAAAAAACAATATCGCATGAAGTGTGTTACCAGCAACAACAGAAACCAACTGCCTCCACTCAGTGTGATACTCAACAAATAGCTGAACCAGGTTCTGAATGCCTTTCAATTTTGATCCTGTCTCTGACTCAGCCTTTGAAAGTTCTCATATTAGTTCTTTCAGTTTCCGGCATCCAGTACCGATAGAAACCTGGTTGTAACATTTAAAATGTCTTAGGACTTCAGTTCTTAACATAGATCCCAGTTTGAATCGAACATCTATGAACCATATTCAATAAATTTGCCATGTGTTCAGACAAAGTAAAAGAAATATGCAGTAACTTAGCACAAAGGATGAAAGAAAGAAGCAACACAGATTTCAAAACTAGCCCCAAGCGAACTGTCCAAGTTCAATAAATGCCAAAACCAGAGGGCTGAACTTTGAGGAATGACGATAACATACCTAGATTATACAGTATACACGCTGTTTGTAAAAGAAATAGCTGAATCAGAATCTGAAGAATGCCTTTCTTTTCTTTTTTGTTAGTATAGTAGTAGGTAGTAAGATACACGCTATTTGTAAAATGGGTAGATATATATTTGCAAACCAAATATGCAACAGTAGCAGGTAGCAGCTCACTTATATACTTATTTACACTTAAATACAAGAGGGAAAAACATTGTGATTACCTTTTTTGTAGACTCTGCAACTCATAGTTTCTGGAAAAAAAATCCTGAAGAAAGCTGTTATTCTACCTGGTGAGAGCAAGGCTCGTTCGGTTAGGGGTGAATGACGCCGGGAATCATTGCAGCCAATGAAAGCTTGTAGCTTGTATAAATTAACTTGCAATTCCGGCCGGAATTTTTCGTGGGAGCCATTCCTTGCGAAACGAACGGGGCCTAAGCTTAAATCCCTCTGTGCATATCAATGTACTAACATACATGGAACATCTGATGGCAGTCTGGCACCCCACGGCACAGCAGTAAACTGTTGAAGCAGTCTCTCTGATGCATCTTCATAAAGAACAACTGATGAACTTTTCAGGTTTTCATCACCGCAGAAAAATGTAGCTTGAGTGCTTGATTGCTTGAGTCATTCAAGTTAGACAAAGAGCCAAAAGATTTCAAAGATCCCAAAGTAGAAAAGCAAGGCAGTATTCTGACGCTAAACACAAGGAAATAGTTTACAACAACCAAAAGGTGCAGCAATCCAGTTTATTGCATCAGATCTCTACTGATATTGTCGGCCCAAAAACATGTCAATGCGCCCGACACACAGTAAGCCGGAAAGATCTGCTTGGCTTCAATGTAGGGCTAACTGATCCTGTGAATTCCTCCCGAGGCGTGCCAGTCAATTTGACCCGCAATTGACAAGGAGAGAAAGTTTATCAGTAATTTAAGGTGTAACATGCCGGTTTTGCCCAGACAGTTCCAAGTGTGCTGCTTCGAGAGCAGCCAGACGGGAAAATCAACTAAATAGCCGATACGCACAGAAATCGGCTGTTACGGACTATAAAGCTCGTGGATCGCGATTGATTTTATGTTGACAAGTACAATACACGCAGATTTAAGTAAAATCATCAGCTAGGTGGGTATTACCAGTGTAACGCGTTGAGCCGATGAATCTAACAAGAAAGGATATAACATGCGAACAAATCGACTGTTTAGTACAAATGGATCTACAAACGCCCTGAATCTAATCTATTACCATCAACAGTGAGGTTCGACCGGATCGATGACAGCTATGATGATAATAACAAACTAAAACCGAAGAATCCGTAAAACTATCTATATATTGACAGGCTTTCCGAAAGACACGCTATATGTGTGGACGCTCAGGCGAATCGGCTGAAATGGCTGATTCAGATGAAAATAGACTACAACATGTGAACAATTGACTATTTAACATGGACAAATCTATGAACTCATCAGACTTAACATGTTATCTCTAACAGTGGGGTTCACAGATCTATTCACATTTAACAGAATTATGGAGACACACTGTAGATGTTAAAGCATAAGTGATCGGCTATTTAACTAGCCAGTAAACCTTCGATCTAAAGTGCCATCAGTGGAGATCGACCGGATCGTTACAGCCATAATAGCGAACTATAGACCAGATTTAACTAGCCAGTAAACCTCTTCAAGATCATACGTGCATTAACCGTGTACTATGCACGATCAAGATCGAGGTAGAACAGCCGATAAAACATAAGCCGTCGCTCAAAGTAAGAAATATCATATTGTAACAAAGCAAACGATGGACTAAAAGGATGTGAGGCCGATCTAGATCGATCTCGATCGGGCAGATTGATGTTGCTGAAAACTAATAACAATAAGAATATCAGCAAGATCAGTAACTTAATTAATCTACCCGAAAGACGCCACCCTTAGGTAGAGCCGATAACTTGACCTTAATCTAATTCGAGCAGTCACTACCAGAAACAGTATAATTGCCGAGTGCCTGAGGATTTGACGAGTGCATTCCATCGGGCACTATTTACCGAGTGTTTTTAATTCAATGCTCGGCAAACCGATAGCACTCGGCAAAACCCCACTTTGTCGAGTGCCTCATAAAAAACACTCAAACAAGGACACTCGGCAAAGTACAAGCATGTGCGCTGGGCATGCGGCGACCGTGTGACGGCCGTTGGGTGCGCCGCCCTACCGTTAGAATTTTGCCGAGTGTCCTTGTTTGGAGCCCGGGTGGGTGGAGACGCACAACGCTTGCCGGGACCGGCGTTTGCTGATGCCACGTGGATCACACCATCAAGGCAGCCTGAGCCTCGATGAATACAGGGAAAAATGGGTACGCGAATTCATTTCTTTATTCTAACGCTCAATTCTGCATAATTTCTAATCATTTTGCATTTTTGCCGCAGTCGTCGTCACATGATGGCCAGCCTTGCTCCCAGTTCAAGGCATGGGTTCTGTCCAAAAAGGGCAAGGCGATGGCAAACATCGACTTCAACCCGAAGGACCCGCCCAAGGCGTACAGCGATCCCAGCATCCACAGCCGCGTCACTGAGTACACAGCGATGGCAATGGTGGTTCATGGGTCAGAGTTCGATCCGAGCACCCAGGATTTTGATGGAGAAATCGTGATGAGGGTGGGAGGAGGCAAGAAGCATGGCTGGGACTGGATTGGCGATAGTACAATCGACACGGCCTCTACTCCCACTCTCTCCTAGATTCGAGTAAGGAGCACGAGCTTGAGCCCGGAGATACGCCCACGACCAACCACTACACAGTTCCAGATGGGCTCTTCATGTTATTTCTGTTTTATTTATCGTTTGTTGATTGTTACGTACTTTAGCTTTGCATTGTAACATTGGGATGAAATATTATAGGCCCGGGTGGAAGCAGAAACGAAGCAACGGTAGGAGATAGAGGTGAGGATGGAGGAGATGATT